CGCCCCCCCCCCCCCCCCCTTCCCCCCGGAGTTCTATGCGCTTATGCCAATATGGGACAGGGATGCCTGAACACTCGGGAAGGGCATCAGTTGTTGTTACGTAGCAGTAATCTTAAGTAATTGGTGTAACGGTGGTCCTCAAGCCTATCGTAGAGTCATTTCGGGCTTTAGTTGGCAACAACCCCGAATGGAGGCAAATGGTTGAGAGGGGAGGTCCTCAGAGCGGCTGAGCTCCCTCCTCAGTATTCATGCCTCCTGAAACCAGCAGCCGAGGCGTCAGTGGCTGTGAGGCAGGATGCAGCCTCACAAGAGTTGCAACGCAGCATGCTGCAACTCGAGGTTGACAACCCCACAAACTAGCACAATCATACCTGCTTGGCTGCATGCAAAAACATTGGAAACAATAATTGAAGGGTTCCATTTGCTTGCAAGCTGCCTGGTAAGGACCTTAGATGGTTCATGTGGTAACTCTAGACACGCTTGCCAGCATCGGAGAGACTTTGCTGCGCTTGGCTACATGGCAGCCCTTAGTGAAGCTCGTATCTTTCGGGTGTGAAGCAGGCCTCCTGCAGCACACAGGGATAGTGCATGAAGCGAAGACGGATTGATTATGCCTGCATGTGGGGCTGTCTGGCACCGTTAGTTGCACCAAGGAATGGATGGAACTGTTTTTATGGCAAACTTTTGCCAAGGCCCTTAAATGAGGCGTGTAGCTCTTTCTTTCAGCCCTTGGCGTTGTGTATGCGATTGTGCAATTCTTCTTTGGTGTTGGGGTGCCTCATTTATTATCTCGCTTGCAAAGCAAACGCACACAGAACGGACACAAGCAGAGGTACACCCAAAAAAACGCAGGCTGCAGCAAATAAACGAAAGCCAGTTACAGGGGCTCTTAGACAACACGTATCCATCACCTTCCATGCACAAGCACCAAACGATGCAGTAATAAACGGTAAAGCAACACGGAAACCGCACGGCGGAGCAGCCGCGAGTGAGACAGGAGGCTTCACTTTAGCCCAGCAGGCCTTCAGCATTCTCGACAAGCAGGTCATTATCTAGGTGCTCGAGGCAATGCTGCACGGGACCTAATGCAGCGGAGCAGCAGAAAGGGCTGAAGGGCACCTGGGATTCGCAGAAACTGGAGAAGATTCCAAGGCACTACCGGCCGATACAGCCAAACGAAGGCGTTTGCTATGTGGGGAGAGATGGGAGGTGCAGCATAGTCTGTCCGATGTTGGCAAGCCTGTCTGATGTGGGCAATGACCCTGACCTAGTAGACAAACTGCACGCAAGCAAACGTTCTCTGCAACTGTCAGAATGTCTGTACATACGGCCATTAAGTCTCGTTTGTGCTTGCTTGCTGGGCTGTCTGGCACTGTCGGATGCAGCAGGTTGCATTACGACTCCTGGGATCCCATTCTACTTCCGCAGGTCCAGGCGCTTGAGCTTCATTTAACGTATCTTTTCTGTTGAGGGCTTTTCCAGATCTCAGACTGGCCTGCCACAACAAACTGTTGGAAGGCCAAAATTTCCTTTTCAGGAGCAAACCGTCGAAGTGTACGGCACTAAACTGTATACTGAACAGGATACCGTTGTAGCTACCTTTTCCACGCTTACTAATCCTGGAGACTGAAAATGGACCTAGAGTGCATTGAAAATTTGAAAACTGGGTTTTGGAGTCGTGAGCTGGTTCCTCGAAAAATGAGTTTAAAAGGCAATGCGAGGGGGCACCAACCCGGTACGCCCTAAGATAAAGCCAGTATTTTTCACGCGTCCGGAAATTTCTTTGTTGTTTCCGAATGTGCTACTCCCTGTGTATTACTAGCCTATTAGTGTATTATGCAGTTTAATATCTGTGTGCACGAGAATGACCTTCGTCTTTTCTCGTCGTGCCGTTGGCTGCTATGTGAAAACCCTATATTCGACAGGTGTGTCTTTCCCAGTCAGTGATAAGTTTGCTTTGGATAGCCAACGATCTGCAACACTTGATACCAATCTCCTCTGTAAGCACTTGTCGCTTCTGTTGTGCAGTACATCTGAAGGTCCCACATACTAATGCCTGCAGTGACACCGGCTATCCACGGCATTCACATTGTTTTTTCATGCCCTAATAATTCTCTTCTTTGTCGACATGAGCAGCTGCAAGTGCCCTGTGTGTAATAGCTACATCAGCTGTTGCGTTTTACTTGCGCTTATCGTTTCTCTAAACGATGTCAGGCGACAGTAATGTCGCCATGTCTGTCGGACAGCTGTCGAGTTGTGGATTTTTACCCTTATTCGCCGGAGTTTGCTTGACTGCTGTTGTGGCCCTCTTTAGAGCCTTGTCATGTCTGAGTTTGGCCTTGCTGTCAAGGCTGTGTGGAGAGTGACAGCACGTGCGCAAGCGTTTCAGGGTCAGCTATGCAATGGCGACAACATAGATACTATTAAAGCTCTGATCTTCTTCAGGTATTCCCGTGTAAGAAGTTGAGCAGAGCGTGCTCTCAAGGCGAATAAGACCTCTTCTGGCTTCAGACGAGTGAAACACCTCAGGGAAGTGTTGCTGGCTACTGTCCTGTAGGCCACCGATTTTCCTTGGTCTACCTTCGCCTTCCACACATCGCGTTGCCACCCTACCACGTGCTGCTTGATACTTCTAATGATATGCTGCTGTTAAGTAACTCTCGTCCAAAGTATTGTGACTCCACAATAGTTGAAGCTAACGGTAGTCCTAGTACAAGATCCAAACCCCGCAACGAACCCTCCCAGGATGTAGGGTTCGGTGCACCACAACGAAGGAATGTAGTGTCCTCTGTGAATTAATTTTAATAAGTTTAATTCTCAACACAAAATTTATCGAACACTCACCTTATGGATTTATTGGCCCTTGTAAAACTGTTGCGGGCAATCTTGGAGCCATCTATGCTGTATTACAGGTGGCAGTAAATTAGTGTCCGAAGCCACAAAGTAGAAATGTACATTTGCCTGGAGTTCTGATCAGTTTAAGCAAATTTATAGGTCCAAATTTTTAGGTCCTCATCCAAACACGCAGAATTGTTGGCTGTAATGCAGGCACTACAAATGGGTGAGGATGGAACGAGCGCTACACAGGTGTCCATGGTGAAGTTTGATTGGCCATTCAGCGCATGAATGTTAGGCAAAGGCTATATTGGAGACTATTTATCAGCATAGCCTAGGGAGTGGATTTCGAATGTCAATGTGCAACAAACGGGAGACTTCTCCCATTATGATTGCCGTTGTCCAGCTAGGTCCCTCGGCCTTGGTCAAAGGCAGAAAAGTAAAGGTTTCTTGGGGTCTTCCTTTTGCGGGGCCTATTCTTCATGGGCAATTAACTTTATTTAGTGGGAAGCAAATGCTGAAAACACCGGATACATGTGTTTTTCCACATAGGCAGGCATGGCAACCTGGTGGAATCTAGGGATCGACACTTACAGTGTCGATGGCTGCCACTCGGTTATAGAGGTGATAATGAGAGAGAACTGTTCAGTGTGACGGCAAATACATTCAGGAAGTTACTTGAAAGTCCCTCGGTCCGTTTATTTAATTAACTCAGAAGTTGGGCAATAAAACTAGGGCTTCAAAGAACAATTGCTGGATCTGCTAAATCCAAAGATAAAGTGAACTGCGCTGTTCGTGTTGGGGCTAGCTGGGGGAACGCAACCATTCGCCGCCTGCAAAACTCTACTCAAGAGAAGCTATTAAATATGGTAAAAATCAGCTACAGTATTTTCTGTTTATTTTTGAAGCTGCCGGCTTAGGGGAGGTGACAGTCTACGTGAAGTAGACTGCCCTCGTCCATCGGTTATCCGCACAGCAGCTGCGGATTGCCGTTTCGTCCTATAGTTACAGCATCTGGAGCGTCTCGTGTATTCCGGAGTACACATCTGCAAAGCGTGTACAGCCCAAATGCCAGTGGATCCATTGTGGCATTTTTCCGGTTATTATTGCCGGTCGTAGATGCCACAGCTCGGCGCCACCAAACGTCGCGTCTGCCCCGAAGGTGGGAACCACTTACCGAGCACTTGGTTTGCAAATACATCTTAATATTTTCATGAATCTCGCAAATACCCAGCCAGAAGTACCACCGTAATCTTTCTCACTTGTCTCCGTGTCTACAGTCCTGTTTATTAGCTGCAGGAGCAACCTCAAGCAGCTTGCCAACCCCGAAGCCTCTATTTTCAGGAAAGATGCCAAGAGGCCTTCTCCGCTGAGCTCCAACCTACATTTGGGGTCCCGGGCTATGCCACCTTGCATTAAGCTACCAGCCTTGTGGTGGTAGGTTCGCATCTACCCTCACGTGGGTTTGCAATTTTTTAATGTAGCTTCGGGTAGTCAACATCAGATTGAGAATGGCAAGCAAGAAGCTGTATTTCGGCATTCTTCTCGTTCGAAGTTGTTTCTGGTTGTTTGTGGCGGTCTGGAGTGCGGGGAAGCAGAGTGCGTGCTTATCAAATACACCAGGAGAAGTCCAAGAAGGGAGTGCAGAATTACAAGTGTCCAACGGGTCCCCACCAGACACACTGACAAGATTGCATGCAAGAGCGGTCTCCCAGATGGGAGCAATAGATAACGAGTTTGACACAGGGCTCGTCTGGAAGAAGCGATTCCACTTAATTGCTTTGTCTGTGCTGTTCCTAGCAGTACTAAGGGCAATTTCAATTCGTAGGGAAAGGGAGACAAAGAGGAGGGCACAGAGAGAATTCAGACTACCGACAAAAGAACCTTTGTTTGACGCGGAATTGGAAGAAGGCCTTTTGCCTTCAGACGAAAAGGCGCGCAACCATGTAGTTTTACCAGTTGAGGAACCCCCGAAGGAAATTAGCGTGCCACGAGCAAGGCATAGACCGCAAGATAAATCTCTACCAAAGGAACCACCAAAGGGGCCTGATGCTGGTCGACGACAAGCAGAAGAATCAGAAGGCGAGTTAGCAAAGACGACGATAACCGTTGGGCGGGAAACTCGGAAGGAGGGCCCTAAGGAAAGGTTTACTCCCGAGGTACCTGAGATGCCTGCTACTCCCCAGCTACCGACAAATGCCGGGGAAGAAGCAGAAGGGGAACGGAGGGAGGAAGAAAAAAGTGTTCAACAGCCGGATCCACTGCAGCATGCACAGCCGAATACACAGCCAAGCCTACCGCCTTTTCCAGAACCTTCGGAAGTAGTTCTACCACTTGATGTACCAGAAGTAGTATTTGCGGGGCACGCAGTTCCTACGGAACCTGTCAGTGTGCAGCCTGATGAATTGCAGCAGCAGGGTCCTATCGTGCTACTTGAAGACGACGATGAGGTGCAAGAATTGAGGGCTAAGCGGAGCACTGTCACTAATCTATTGGAAGTTGCGGTCAAGTTAGTTGATGAGTTGCCGCCTGGGGAGGCACAAAGGACTGTAGATAAACTGAAGGCGGATATAGAGACTGCTGAACAAGCGGAGATTATGTACGATTCTGCAAAAAGCTACCGAGATCCAAATATTGTATCAATTCGGGAACAAACTTTGAATGCTTTGAAATCATCCCTGGAGAAAGCTCGCGGTGCGCTCCTGCAGTTGTCTACACTGGCAAAACAGCACGGTGAGGAAGTGCACGCGTACTGTTCTGATACGGTCTCTTTTACAGACACCTCTGAGTTGAGGGAGCAGCTGAAGGAAAGCTTGGAAGCGGCATCGATCAAACTGTGCATCGAGACGCTATCGTCGCTGGGAAGAACCTCCATAACTCTGCAACAGGAGAGTGAGGACACTGCTAAGCTCTTAAACTCTGCAAAATTCGTAGACGCATGTGTACCAGAAGATTTTGTCCAATTGTATGGAGCCCTTGCCGCCATGAATTTCAGGAAGAAAACCTTGGAACGTCTGGCTTCTCTGGACATCGAACTGAACAAGGATCTTTTAAGTATGCATAGGGCTTGGCTGATGGGAAAATTGCAGGCAGAACGCATACCGCTCGAAATGGATGCAAGTCTAGTCCAGGGGCTTCACGGGTTACTGTTACAAAGCCGTCCCTCATATTCGAAACAGTCAGCTGCAGGAACAACAGGTGAAGTGATGCAAAGGATCAAAGAGTTAATTATTGGGCAGCACCAAGATTTGGATGCCTTGAATACTGCACACGACATTCCGGGAGTTACAGCGGCGTATGAAAGAGCGAAGTCATCCAATCAGGAAATCAAAGTTTTACTGCAAACGCAAAAGATGCAGTTGCAAGGCGTCCTGCGGCGCCAACCACTGAGCAAGGCAGAGGCAGCCTTTGTGTCTCAACGCATGGAGAAAATTGCTGAAACAGCCGTTGAGAACAGCGAAGAGTCTTGGAGGTTTGCTCAAAGCTTTTTTGCAGAGGTTAGCGGCAATACGCAAAAAGTTGAAGCCTATCCTGCTGACGGCAAAGCGTCACTGGAAAAGGTGGCATCTAAACTAAAGGGCAGCGCCGTTGGCAATGGTACCACAAACACTGTGAAAAAGTATTTCGCCGAACCTCTGAGCCAAATTGAAGTTGCGGCGAAGGATCATCTTGCTAGGACTCAAGAAATGCTAGAGCTAGCTAAGCAGGCAAGAAAGTACAAACTGGATAAGGAAGAACTTGGATCCTCGGCATTGGATACGAAAACAAACCTTAGGGTCAAGGCGGCGACGACTAACGCAGATGCAGCTCTTTTCCTTCTACGGTTTCGATATTTTAATAGCTTGTCGAAGGAAATTGAGGGACTTGGTGGCACGTTGCGAACTATATCCGCGTCTCGATTCCGGCCAACATCAAGTGGATGGGTTGAGGTAGAAAGGTTGATGGACAGATTTGACGAAGAGAAGGCAAAGGCCAGGGCAGCTCAGAACCTTGATGTGATACCTGGCTGCGTAGAGGCAATGATGCAGTCCAGCTTGCAAATATGGACTCTGCTTGAACGCGAGCGTTTGGAACAGCTCGATGGGGCAGTCAGAAAGCCACGCTTATCTCTTCATGGTGCATTGAGAGACGAGGACGGGCATCTGAATGCTCAATAGGCGCTGACTCTCCGCCTCCCCAATTGCCAGTTCTCCACTTCTCCTCATGGGGATACTCCTGTAGTGCTTAAATGCTCAGTCTTGGAGTGGTGTCGGTTTTAAATGCAAAATTTGTGTGTCAGTTTCAACAATGAGTCTCAAACCCCCTCGTGCATTAACGGTTTTCTCATTTCCATTGGCTTCTGTTACCATGCATTTCAGGCAGAAGAAGATGCTTGTGACTTGATGTTTTTTCTTTGCGCCGTTACCGGGTTAGCACCAGCAGTGCCTTTCCTTCGCGCCAGCCCATGTGTGAACGGTTGCTCTGTATAGTGTGTGATGTGTGCTCTTTACTTGGTAATCCCTATTCTCCCGCTCGGGCACCAGGCTACAGCGTGTAGCTCTACGGCACTGATATATGCAGTTTTGGCTTAATGACACCGTTTTCTTCTCCTTCGATATGATGCCCGCCTTGCTCCTGTATGTGAGTTTTAGTGGAGCTGAACAAGGCTGATGAGTATATGCACCTCGGGGTGTGGGAGGCGGTAGGTTACACTACCACGGCGCAACTTTTCTCCTTTCGAAACTCCCTGCGGCCCATCGGCGTCGCTGCGGAGCTTGTGAAATACACTGTTAGAGTGGTGTGTTTACTCCCAGCCCGGCGTTCCAGTTGATTTCAGAAAAAGTAACACCAAAGTTAAATGCTGTCTCCCACTGAGCTAGCAAACCCCGAGCCGCAACGAGCTTTATTTTCGAAGCTTTCTCTAGGTCACACCGCCTTTTCCACAGTCAGATGTTAAACGTTACACCACAGCGGCCCTGAAACTACTTAATGGACGCACGAGAGGGCAAGTGCATGTAATCCAGAGCGTGTCACCGAGGTACGCAGCTAACGCGAGCGGTTTCGAACGTGTAAGTGGCAGACTGCATAGAGCACTAAACGCTTCATAATTGGTGCTTGCCATAGAACGAAGTGTTAAGAGAAATACGTCTGCGCAGAAGTCTGACATTCACACTCGACACTTCTGCTTGTGAAAGTTGGTGCGTCGAACACAGGAAACCGCTGCCGCATGCATTTACTACACAACAAACGAAAAGCTCACACAGCAGGGCGCTAACACAACAGAGTTTAACAACGGTGATATATATGATTGGGCGTAAAGGTTGCAGGTGAATGCTGTGACTCTCAGAGAGGCGGAGTACTCGTCAAGAATCTTCCACCTTATTGAAGAGCAAAGGACGCTGGGGCCAGCGCCGTGCCACGCTCATCCCACAAAAGTGAACGGCGGAATGCCACTCGGACTAAAGTCGCGATTGCCCCCTGAAGGCAGTGGTGTACTCCAACAAACACGAAAGAAAACCTTCCCTACGTTGCTACCCTGCGAGCAGCGGCTGCTGCGTAAAAGCCCGGCACTAGCGGCTCGCAGGGCGATTCCGTCATGGCATTTGCTGTATTTCGTGCTTGCCTCAGAATACACCGATATGGTCAGGGCCTAAACATTACTCTAGTCGCTGTGGCACGTACCTCATGCTCTTGTCGGGAAGTACACGACATAAGACTGGCGTCACTACACTGCGCTTCTGAAGATCACTCCATCTAGATACACATCTTAGCACTTGCCTGCAAAAGGCTTGTCTCCAAGCAGAAATAGCACTACTGCATAATTCTGCTTTGTCCGTGTCATGCTATGTGAACTCCCTTTTTGTCGTGCGGCGCGAGTGTGTGTGTGTGTGTGTGTGTGTGTGTGTGTGTGTGTGTGTGTGTGTGTGTGTGTGTGTGAAGCATCAATTAACAAGCAGCATGGCGTGTGCTTATAAAGTACGGCCCAAAGCCTTTGAAACACCTGATTCTAGCAGTAGGCGTTATCGATACATGCTAGCTCGCATGCGAGTTCCATCTCGCATGTTCGCTAAACAGTTTCAAGCCGGCTATGACGCAGCTTCTGGCCTGTGGTATTGAACCAGTTGACGCTGGTTACGGAAAACTTCGACGACAAGCGGGCATGGCGCGTCGAAAGCTTGCTTGAGGCCGGGTGTTAGCTAGATCAGGACAGGACCGCATTGCAATCTGGCGGTTCTGTGGCATTAATGCAAGGCCAGACTGATAGCCAAAAGCCCTGCAACACCACAAAATCTTGTTCTCGTGTAGCACCCGGACCTTCCTGACGATATACTGCACGGGTGCGCAAAACCCAACAAGAGTCAGGTTTTGGCGTTGAAGCGCTGATTCCTTCAAGCATGCGATTACCTGGAGATCTACTCTACATCTACTCGACGACCTCGGTGAGCTTCGTGAGAAGCCCACGCATCTTGGCAAGGATATCCCATAAAATAAGCAAAATGTGGCACTCAGCCAACATTGCAGACTGATATGGAGCAGTGTCTTACACGCAACGCCCCGCTGCCCCGAGACTGGAAGAGATGAGCAGGTAGGCACCACGTTATGATCACGCACCAGAACCACTACACAATACACTGTCGCAGATGGCTCCCTCGACGACAAGGCACTGCTGGGGCCAAACTCTACAAACGTCTGGACAAATATTCTGGTTGCCTGAAGTGCAAGGTTGTCTCCCCTTTGTAAGAGAAGCCAACAAATATAAGAAAATTGCCCATACAACGTGTATTTAAGCGACTCGGTGAAACATACAAAGACCTTTTTCAATGCCAAACCTGATTCACCTAAGGGCCAGCTGTATTGACACCAGCATTCCAATGACTGGAAGAGGAGTCCCTGGATAAAAATGAGGATACCGGTGCGTAAATGCCTCTTCGTCACACCATGGTCAGAATACAGTTCTACTGTCGTCCTGCATCATGAAGATTAGCGCGCGCTTTGCTGATATCCGCCGAAAGCTGCTCGCATCGCTCGCTTTCAAGTGTCTTCCTCATCTGTAAAGCGATTGACTGTATCGTCACTATGGTTTCAGCTATCGCTTCTATGCTCTGAGTTTCTCTCGCCGTAGTCTTTTCAGCCTCCAATGTGTCCTTCAGTTTGCTCAGTTCGGTGTTGTATTGCGAATCAAACCGGAAATTAAAGGTCGATACAGCGCGTAGCGTGGAGTCAGCACTTCCAATTTCCCTGGATAAGGCCCTCAAATACAGCAGTTGCTTGTCCAAAAGCTTTGCATCTCCTGTTTTCTGCGCCGCCTCAGTTTTAAGGGCAGTTTTATTGCTCAATGCAGTCGATTCGAGTCCACGGCCATCCAGCCTGTACTTTACTTCCTTCTTATTAGTTTCGACTATTTCATGGGCCCTTGAAGAAAGACGCTTCGCCTCCGTTTTCAACTGGCGGCTCATCTCGGTAAATGCGGCCTTCACAGCGTCTGCCACACTGAGATCATCGCTTGCAAGATCAACAGTTGTCTTGGACTTTGTCAGCTTTTGCAGCAATCCAGCGCCAACATCTTCAGTTTTGCTGCTAGCTAGTTCAAGAGCATAATTTGCTGCACGAGAGAATTCATCGGCGACCGAAGCGACAGTACCGCCAATCTTCTGCATGTTGGAAGCCGCACTGGTTGCCTCCTCTTTGCTCAAAGGCTCCTGAAGCAAAACTGCACTAATCTTCGCGACTTGCTCATCTAGTAAGGACTTGAGCGTTCCGTTAAGTTCCTGTAAGCGTTTATATGCTTTTGTAGCACCCTCTATGTTCTCAGCAGTATCCAGCGAACGAAGTTCCTTAGTTTGCTCAGAAAATAATGCACTGAATTTGCTCAATTCTGCCTTCTTTAATCCAGAACCTGATTTACCCTCAGATGTTGGGCGACTCTTCACCAATACAGTATGAATTCCCTGCACGAAGTTTCCCTGCATGCCAATCGGTATGCGTTCTCCCTGGAATTTTGCCTTTAAAAAAGCCTTGTGCATACCTAAAAGAAATCCCTTCACCTCTTTGTCCAGGTCAGACAACCGCTTCAAGGTACTCCTCCTGTGATTCAGGGTAGAAATGGCTGAGTAGAAGCGGACAAAATTATCTGCGTCGCATTCGTCCACGAATTTTAAAGAACGCAGTTGACTCGCGCTGTCCTCACTCTCCTGTTGCAGAGTAATAGAGGAGTTTCCCAGAGACGAGAGCGTCGCGATGCACGATGCGACCGGTGGTGCATCCAAGCTCTCTTTCAGAGGCTCTTCTAACTCCTTGACGTTTGTAAAAGTGACATCAGTAGAACAGGACGCATGCAGTTCTTCACCATGTTGTCTTGCCAGATTAGACAACTGTACGAGCGCACTGCGAACTTTCTCCAAGGATGTTGTCAATACATTCGCAGTATGATTCCGAACTGATTCAAAATTTGGATCCCCATGGGCTTTTGCAACATCGTAGTTTCTTTCCTCCTGATCAGCAACCGCTGCATCCGCCTTCAATGCATCTATAATACTTTGTGCCTCCCCCGGCGGCAACTCATCCCCCAGCCTAACCGCCACTTCTACCAATTTGTTGACAACGACCATCCGAGCCTTCAATTCTCGCATCTCGTCGTCGTCCTCAATTATTGGGGCAGGAGCATAAGCTGGCCCTCCGTAAGGTTGCTCACCTTCAAACTGTGGAGGAACTGGATGTTCCACACCTGGAGCGCCAGGTGCTGGAACTACTGTAGGGGGCACTTCCGGAGCCTTGTCCTTCCGGCCCTGTTTTTTAGTCTTTCGCCCACGTGTTACCCGCCTATCTAAGGCATCCTTTAGTGGGCCTGGAAACCATGCTGGTTTGTGCTCCGGCTGTGCCTTGGGCACAGGAGGTACCTGCGGTGGTGGACTTGCTGGTTCGGTTTCAGCCTTTGGCGGGACCTTGAGACGTTCCTCTTCCGCCTTCTTACGTTCCTTTTGCATACGAACAGAAATTACTTTCATTAGGATTAGGAAGAGCACAAATAATGCAATTAGGTGGGTCTGCTTCTTGGAGAGTATTCGCACCGCCATCTTGCTCGCCGTTATCTCCTGTTGCGCAGCCGCTTCTGCGTGCAATTTACCCAGTGTATCAACTGGAAATTCGCCTGAAAGTTTCAACTCTGAAGTATCAAAGTTTTCTGCTGGTGCCTCTGACGAGCGAACATTCTGCTGCTCCGCAAGCCATAATACCACAAATAACCAGACACACCTTTGCAGGCGAAGCATGCTTAACAATTTGTTTGGTTTCGTCATTTTCAAATTGGAGCCGTTTATCCCAAGGTAAATGCAAAAGGGCTATCTCACGTTAGCTTAATGCGCATCTATCCCTCCACTGGTGATCACTTAGAGCGGGGTCGATTTGCAAAGGACCCCTCGCACATTTCGAGGACAAACCACTGGTTCGAAAGCGGACCAGGCAAAAGTAAAGCTATTTTTCAAAGGCAGGGTCCGGCAAAAAGAACAGAGGACGGTAAGCGTGAGGGGGAGCAGCCGAAGGACCACTTGCCGATACCGCCCCTGTGAGCCACACGAAGTACTCCCCCACAACCTACCACCAGTGAATATAGGTGCTGACGGGGGCAACCTTCAGGATGAAACTTGTCAAAATTTACCTTGGAATTGAAACCTGTCAGCCGTCGAGAGCTGCATCATGTGGGCTTGGCGTTCGGCATTCGTACGTTGGGTGCGCAGCCGCTCCCGATCCCCACGCCATTGCTTGTAGACGCACAAAATCCTATCGCACAAACCTGTCCTAAAACCATATATTTGGGTTTAATTTGCTACTATATCCTAATTAATCGGCTTACTATGCAATATTTTCCCCGACCTGCAACTACAGTCATTCTGAAAGTGGCATGGTGTGACGTCGGTCTTGGATCTTTTCCATTGAATACTGAGAGACACATGAGCCACAATACTTAAGATAAGGGTTAATTAAACGCATGGTACCCCCATATTCACTCTGTAGGAGTCCTCCGGTAGGCGGCTGAAGCGCCTGGAACTGCGGTAGAGGAGGTTGCTCCTCATGCTAGAGAGAGAGAGCCACATAAGAAAACAAAGCGGCCGCCTTGGCTGCATGTTCAAACGTTGTAGATAGTTGTTAGGAACTTTCTCTGGCGTACCGATCTAGGGCCGTTTTGTTTGCGCTGTAAAGCAGGGTGTCGGATCTGGTCCCAGGATGCATGTAGGGTAGAAGACAGCCAAAATGCTTAAAATGAAACTCAACTAAAAACAGCTAACCTCCTTCGTCAGATCCTAGCGACCTGAGCATAATATAACAGTTCAAGCGCCTGGGGCTGGGGGAGTGGAAGTGGGTTGCCAGGAGTTTCCACACGGGCTACTGAAGCTAGACAAAGAAAAACAGCCCAACATGTATGCGTCCATAAGCCTTCTCCGCTGTATTTAAAGACAGTGCACGCAGTTTCTCAGAGATGTAGTACTTTTAAGCAGATCCGCTAAATAGGCAAAGCCGGGAAAGTACAATGCGAGAACGGGGGAACTCAACATCCGTGCCACCGTACAAGGGTATCCGCGAACTGCTTCTATCTCCGCCGGACCTAGTTTGACTCCACCAACTGAGGCACGGTTAAGCTAAGAAGCTGCATGCTTGCATCGAGAGAACAAACAATTTTGTGCTGTCACACAACATTGCTTCTTACTCAGCAGTTGCAAAGCACGTCGCTGGTGCTGTATGCTCCGCTGCGCATTCCATCTGGACGCAAAAGCGTCATTTCCATCACTGAGTTGGCTAAATAATCGTGATCAGCGGTCGCTGAAGTTCGCCAGGTGCATTTACAGACCTTAAAGGTGTAGTCCAACTGGCGAGTTGGGGTGTATAACACTTAACTCCTCTCATTGGGATGGATTTCAATATTTGAAGGACGCTTGGGCAAACTCAGATGATGAATATACAGCCAAACCCTGCGAACAATCTGCGAGTTTGTCGCTTCTAAGTATCGGCAACTAGGGGTTCGCCCCGTGATCTTTTTGAGGAGCTTGAAGTCGCACACGTGCCACCTGCATTTCGTCTTCGTCGACAACGGCCTGTTTCCAAACACTCTAGTTGACGACTACGCATTGAAGATTTTTCAGAAATTCGTCCAATTGCTCCCCTGTTCCCCTCCAAACAATAGGAGTTGCTGGTATATTCGAGCATAGCTTGGGGCTGCTCCACGCTTATGAGCTCCATGGTGTGATCAGTGGATGACCGGCCCGCAGCTGCCTTATTGCTATTTAATACATGTTCGAGGTCTTCCTTAAAATGTTTCCACATTTGCTCGTTGTGGGGCCTTGACATGATCAAAGCCTCGGTCCTGTGCTTGCAGTTCTGCTCAGTTTCCGGTAGCGCCTCGGCAATGGGGAGCCACTCAGCGCCCTTATCGGCACTTTCCTGATCGTGTATTTACTTCCCTGGCTGCGATTTCTGAAGTCTTGAGTGTCCAAATACCTCGTGCGTTTCCTATGGCTGCAGTCTCGAAGCCCCAAGTCTCGAAATTATGCCCAGTTTGTTGCAATAGAAGGTGTGAAGCTCGATATAACCTCCCAGTCTTTTGAGTGCCGGTTCCCCTGCTACTTCCGTTGTTACCCTTCCCTCCTTCTGTATGCGGCGATGGCATTCTTGGTCGGTGAATATCCCCAGGGTGTATATCCAGAGTGTTTCTAAGCCTGCTCTATTCCGTCTCCGCGATGGCAGTAGATGGGGCCACCATTGGACCAATGATAGGCACACACCAACGATAGGCGCATTCACCAACGCCTGATACTTCTGGATATAATGCTGTATAAAAAGCTTCCTTTGCTTGCGTTACCTCAGCTATGACACGGCTTATTTTACTCCCTGCCTACGAAAGAGCTACATCCCAGCGCGTTCTGGAAAGCCTCCATACTCCAAGGAAAAACTCATTCGGTAACCAGCCGAGCAGCAAAAGAAGGATGTAGCAGGTAAACGGTCGGACTCGAAGAAATGATGGAATACCTACCACCCTTGAGAAGAAGGAACTGGGCAGATTTCGGAACAATATGGATATGCACGCTATGGACGTTGTGGCGGTGAAACCGAACCTCATCCAATCGGAAGCAGCAGTGGAACTCCACAGTCCGAAGTGCACAGGAAGTCGTGTTGAGCTCCGCGCCAGCTTCTTCTGTAACAACCTGCGTCAAATACTTCGAGATTGCAGACGTACGAAAAAGCCGAGGGTATTGGTGAAGCAAGATTTTGATAAGCGCTGCCAGGCGAATGAATAAACCGATCAGAAAAATGCCCAGACCCCCTGCGAGCGGGAGGCGCAGTGAAGGGGCCAAAAGCAGTAGCAGCCGAACCGGCATATCCCCATCGATTTAATTCTGTGACTATCTGAATTCGCTTCAGTGGTCATGACTTTTGCTCAGAGCAGGGTGTGCTGAGGCCTTGTGCTTATGAATGCTGCCTAGTAAGGCCAATTACGCGTTTATGTACCAACTTTGGGCAGATCATCGTGGGGTAATCTGTCCCATGTTGGAAATTCTGGGAAGTTAGTGCATGATTCCGTAACCTGCCCGAGAAGCAGCATATGGCGCAAGCAAAAGTTCTCAGCAGCTGTATACGAAGTTTGTACGTACAGACAAGAAAGCTTGTTTCGCTTGTTTGTGCACAGACGTTGGGCTGGTTTGCTGCTAGAATTGCTGCAATCAGCGTTTGCGACTCGTGGCAGCCTGCCTCTAGTTTCGAAACCCCAGTGAGTTTAGCCTACTGAGCTCAGGAGGCCTAATGATCGGGGCAGGATATCAGCTGCTTTTGATTAGCTCTCTCTTACGTACTTTGGCGCCCTTCCAGCTCACCTTAGCTCCATAAGATTGAGGCCTCACGTTTAGAATGCTTCAGCAACCAAATACCGGTATGTAATGCATCTACTCCTTGAGACTCATAAGGGCATAAAAAGAGCTAAGGAGCGTTCCTTTCGATCGGCAGTCTACCTGTGTCGTATCACACTTAGAACTGGACTCGCCCCAACGGCAATTCGCGGGGCAGTGGGAGTAGCAGGCCACCGTCCCATCATAATGCAAAAAATAACCCATTAGTTCTTCACTAATTTTAAAAATACTCGGCCAGTACCGTACCATTATGCTGAGACTTTTCAACAGGTTGCACGTCACGGTCTAATCGTGGGTTGAATCCCGCACCCGAGTCGGCAAGGCCGATGCCGTCCACACTGCGAGAATCCGTGAGCCAGCTTAACCTTTAGATAATCTTCGGGGCAGCTGCATATTGCCATGTGGTTTCTAAATTTCACTTGGTAAACGGAAAAACGTGGTAGGAACTACAGTTGCCGTCAGTCTTAGCCCACCTTTGGGGCCTGGGGGATTGCAGGAATCTGCTGGAACCTGGGACCGCCAAACCCCATTCAGTGGCAGGAAGCCTCTGGCTCATCATTTTCATCTCCAATTTTAAGGGCGATCTGCTTTCCGCAGAGGCACGGCGAGTCCCCTTGCGGTTCCACGCACCTCCACGGACACGAAGGGGGAATGAAGTTTTCCCTAAGTTCGACGCAATTTTCTGTCCTTCCGCACAAAAGCCGTGTCTTCGTTACGAGGGCCCCCATGGAGAGGTGGACGGGGGATATTTGCCTCACGAGCTTCACAAGGATTTAGCAGGAGCGGGAATACAACGGGTTGCTCACTAGACAACTACACACTGCCTTTGCACGGGAGTTCCGAAGTGGGCGAACGTGAAATTATCGTGTGCCGGAGAAAGACTACCTCCACATGATGGCAAACAGGTTGCGGTGGGTTGCCTCAGCTGTCATTGGCGTAGTTACCTTGCTTAGCCCTCAGCGCGCTGAGACGGGCTGGCACGAACGTCTTAGCCGGGATGTTGATCATGGTGAGCTACGGGCTGGCTTACCAACGGTGGCGTCGTTCCCTATTTATCATCACGGTTCTCCTCCTGTGAAGCTGGACGACACCATCACATACCCAGGGTCGAACTGGTTTGAACAGCAGGAGGCTCTATCTTCTTTCCAAAACAGTTTGGAACCTCCGCAGTCAGGACCTCCTGGAGGTTCGCTAATATCTCTGGCTAAACTTTTGCAGAGTTCGAGCTCTCAGTTGCGCTCAGCGCTGCTGCGTCAATTCTGTCACTCCGTGGCACGTCTCAGGACGCGCTTTGTGGGGCTTAACAGCAGTATGCAGAAGACCGAAAATATCTTGAACAATAAGAGGAATTCTGGGTCAGATGAGACGGAGTCGCAAGCCGCTACCGAGAGGCACATTTCAGCATTGGCTTCCAAGCTCACTGGCGTTTTGGGGGCTGCTGAGGGATCTGGTGACTCTGGAAAGGCATTGACAAAGTTTCTATTATTGCCTTTCGTTAGGCTGGTTCATGATGCAGAGGGATTAATGTTCAACATCGCAATGGAAGGCAAGGTGGGGCTGATGATCACTGCGCTTAACCAGCTCGCTCCGCCCATTGTGCGAGGGCTGTCTTATCTGGAAGCTCCTCAGAGCCAAGGAGCCGCAGGAGTTCTAGAGCCAGCCCGTGAAAACTGCTTGAAAAGGGCTAAGGAATTAGACAAAGCTTTGCTTGCGGCACAGTTTGATCCAAATGGAGTATTGCGTGCATACCCGAGAGACTTCAACAAGTATGAACTTCAGAGAGAACAGCAATTAATCTCTCTAGAAGCAGGTCCTTCTCAGCAGCAGTACATCCCCCCTGTCTTTGAGACAGGGGGGATGCCTGCTAGCACAGAGAAGGGCAAACTTGGTAGACGTGTGAAGATCATCTCCATCGTGCTTGCGTGCTTGCTATTCTTCACCGTGTTCATTGCAACAGCACAACCTCCACATCCAATGCCGATTGGGAGGAGCTACTCTCGCCAAAATGCAGGGCCTCACGTCAGCGACGGCGAAGAGCAAGCGCAGCATAATAGATATGGACCAACAGCCTCTCATGAGGTAAGGCCGGAGATGGAGAGGGCATATAGGGAACATGGTGGAGCGCAGCCAAGAACTTTCTCTCAATTTCAGCAGTGGATGCATGGTGATAAACCGTCTTTCCCTGAGGCTTCCACTACTTCGAATGGAGGCGGGCAAGGATTCCCACTTCATCCCACACATCAGCATGCTAATTTCGGACCAAACTCGCATCATACTCCTGCGTATATGAACGGACCGAGTTTCGAAGCAACGCATCGGGTTACGCCGTCTGCTCCTCCCCTGCCCACTGATTGGAGGACTCCCCGGTCTCCACCTCCTTCCTACTCGGAGGTTATGGGAACCAGCCGATAGTGATTTCGCAGCATCTGCAGTGTATTGATTGGAAACGCTTCTCGTTCTTTGGCGTAAAAGCTGAAAGACAATGGAGAGCGACGCCGTTTTAGCGTTATGTTGGCAGCATATAAATTTCTGCGGCCCTTCGCCACCAAACGCCTTTGAAGTCGGCAAGCGGGTGGGCAATATTAGCTGCATTCAAAAATGCTGCCGTAGATGCCGGGTGACAAACGGCGCTTTTTTGTGAAGCCGTGCAGTGATACCCCCAAGCGAGGACAAAGTTTGCGGTGTGTTATTGTGCGTCCCAATCCGTGTGCTACTTTGGTGGTAGCCGGTCTCGTATGTTTGCAGTTTGGCGGGTGCTTACCTTCTTGGAACCATTAGTAGTGGTCGATTATCTTAGCACTTGTTGTTTCCCTGGCTTCTAGCCGAATGCAAGAAGCTAGGCAAGAGGAGTTCCCAGAACTAATCCTTGTTAAACGGTGGATGTTAAGCCCTAGGTTATAAGCGATCGCAAAATATGGGGAGCTGTTAAGTGGGTGTCTTCAAGATAAAATAGGCAGCAGTTTGCACTACCGAAACAACATTAAATGAGAGATTGCTTAGCGTGGGACTGCCCAACTGGAGCTAGCCCTCGTCATATGCACAGGGTACTGCACGCAAACGGAGCAGTTTTCGGCGCACACTGGCAAGGAAGGCGCTAGCAGCTGTTTCCTGCGAAGCCTAGAGCAATTTAATTTCCTGAGCAGGGATTTCAAGCTGTGCGATAGTAGTAGATGGGGGCCGTTTAGTAGTATGGTTCTTCGAGGCCGCATAACCCAGTGTTATGTTTCTGAAAAGCCTGAGAGTGAGCTGTCTCCGTTGGAGACTACCGGTTCCTGTTATACCCTAAAGCGCACCACTTAAAGGCAGCCTAGCCTGACAGTTGTTGCTAGGATCTGTTTATTCTAGAGGTATGGCTTTTATACTTTGGGCCCGGGTCTTCCCGGGGATGCCCAGCCCAATTCCCTGAATGAACCATTGACGTACCTGCTGGGACATGTGGGTGGGTGTGTATTTGCGCACTAACGCGAGGTTCTTTGCAACCGTATTGCATCACTACAGATGAGTCTAACTCAGTTTTACACACTATTTCGTGTTTCCAGTTGAAGTCTGTTTTGCGCTCTAAGAACCGCCTGTCGGCAAGTTTTACTAGGTGGATTTACTATGTTCAACTTGATGCAGGCTTCTGAATTGTTTGTGGTAGTGCGTCTAAGTATATATCAGTATTTTTGCTGCATGAAGAATATCAACTGGGAAGTTCAAAATAGTCTCTTGACCCCTTAGAGCAAGGTGGGGCAACATCGACCCCGTTTTGGCGTAACCAACGGCGGAGCCCCAGGAATCCCACATGTACTAAGACGAGGCACTCCACACTCCATACATAAAATACCAGCCTCTTTCTTTTTATTTTTTGTTGTATTTGACTTTTCCTTGTTCTAAATCCCGGTTGGCCTAAGGAGCAGTCGGAGCAGTTGGAGTTCGCGTCAAGCCCACCCTGGCGTGTTTAGGGTGGGTGGGGGTTGTTACTAATTCGCCGTGTGCATTTGTTTCCTCAGAAAGCCTTTGACACCCAAATACTTTCCACTTGCTTTTCGCGCTAGGCCATGGGCGGCCTTTAAAGTATATAGGGAGCAATTCGTCTTTCGCATCTTCCCTCATTCTCCCTGCTTGGACAATGTTTGAGGGCGAGCGGGTGTACTACTCTAACAACCGATCCGACCCCCATGGCTTCGAGGCCGAAGATGGAGGCCCGGATTCTCTTCCGTCTCTAAAGCAGGCTCGGCTGTTCTTTGAGCAGTACCTGCACCATGGCAGTGGTGCCTTGCGTCGGAAGTTGTTAGCAGAGGCAGAGAAGAACACGAAATGCTTATTAGAATTGGACCTCTTTGACTTGATCGAATACCAGCACAGAGTCCAGCCAGCGGACTTGGAGTGCGTCAACACGCCTTTATGCGGCCGGGACAGACATCGAGCGCCCCCTGATTTCGCGCACAGACTGGCGCGCTGTCTGCGGGAGAGACCACTTGTGTACTTGCCCGTTTGTGAGAAGGCGTGTGAAGACATAGCCGCAAAAAGTGCAATAGTTCAAGGGGCATCAGATGGCCCAGCAAGCAAACGAGAACGCACCTTTGACGTTCAAATCAACCTCATCGACTCTAGCAAAAAGCCTACCGCGATCCGCAGCCTCCTTTCGCACCAGCAAGAGCACTTCGTCGTTACAACGGGCATTGTCATTAGTTGTAAAGCACCAATGAGCCGCATGCAAGTAAGACAACCCCCTATGGTCTTTGACTGCACAGCAGCTCAGATTGAATGCAGCCTCACGCCCTCATCCGCGTCGCCTGAATGTCCTCCTGGGAAGATTCAGACGATCACACGCAGGAGCATGCTTATGCTTCAGAAAAAAAAAAAACATATATGACTAAATTAAACTCCATTTGGACAGGCACGTGTAGTCCGCTTGTAGGGGGTGGCATGCATGAATGTAGGGGTTTTGTTTCTACTTTCCCATAATATTCCTGCGTGCGCGTGCGTCCGCCTTCATAAACTTCGCAGAAAATAACGATTCAGTGCCGTTTCTGCAATCACAAGTTGGTCATTCATGCTGCTGAGTGGCGAGAACAGCCGCAGATGCCTCGGTTTTGCCGATTTTCGGAACTGATGGGTCCTGGCCAAGGCGAGTCGGACTTAGGCTGCAAGAACAAGCCGGTGAGCTGATATATTGGATACAACGCTTGCTGTGAGATATGTGCACGATACACAACAGTGCGTGCTGCCGTCTGTTGAAAACGGCCCCTCGGGCGTGATTTGCGAGGGAAGATAGCAGCAGTTCACTGCTCGCCTCATTAAACAGCCCTCACAGCGTGCTGGATGATCTAGACAGCCATGAAGTAGCATAACACGCCCACAGATTTAACACTGTGCATACACAGGGGAGAATGCATCCGACTTTTTTATACTAGTGCATTCCAAAGTTGGCTGCAGAAGGCCCGGTGCCACGTCCATGCACGTCTCTCCGCGGAGGAAAGGGCGGCCTCGCGAGCTCAGCAACTCCACAGGCAGAAGTGCGAGCTGTGCAGTTACAGGGGATATCGGTTTGGGGTTGGTTTCTTCCATGCTGCGGGTCAGGAACCATACTTCATTGTCAGCAGCGAGTGCACGTTCGTTGACGTTCAGCTTTTGAAGATGCAGGAGTTGCCGGAAGACGTAAGGGTTACTTCTGTTCCGACAGCTGCTGGCGAGCTTCTTAGCCAAAACTCGCCCAAGCCGAAATTCACTCTTCAGCTGCGTTCGCTAGCTAGAGGATTTTTGTGATGCGGCTGGTGGGACGCATGCAGGTGCCCACGGGGGACATGCCGCGGCACTTGCTACTGAACGCATCTCGCTTTCTTGTCGACGAGGCAACTGCAGGTGACAGACTTCTGATCAGCGGAGTCCTCACTACGGATGCGGGCTCCAACGCCCCCTCTTTCGCTGCCGAGAGATACGGTGAGGCTGCTGCTGTTGCTCGGATGGAAGAGAGCGCGACGACACTTCACTGCAGCATTCTCCCTCCGAGCCAGTTGGTTCCCTAGCCCTTCGCTTCCACCGGCAGAGCTGTGGGAACTCCTCCCAGTTGGTAGGCTTAACGTGTGGTGTACAGACCAAACTGGACCCCAACAGGCATACATTCACGTGCTGGGGATAAGAAAGATCAACTTTTCGCCGTTGCTGTCCACTCTAACTTCACTGGAACAGCGCTCACTTTTCCAGCGACTTAGTCAGGAGCCGAACATCATTGACAAAATATCCAGGTGAGGCTACTCCCAGAAGGTGCCACAGATGGCAAGCACTTCATTCTTGCATGCCGCCATTCTTGGGTGACTCCATTCTTCCATTCGAAAGCTTTGATACCCCGCTCTCCCCACTTTTGCTCCCTAAGCTGTTCGTTCTCTAATGCCCACTTCCTGTGAACTAAGCGAGTCTTCAAGGTAGCTCTTCAGATCTTGATCCCGCTTTTGGCGAGCCTTCTGAGGCGTTGAACTCTGGCTCCTTGATTTTAGCCTACGGCTGAGGGCTGTGTCCAACTGGGTAGTACGACCGTGCTGCTAGAGAAGCTGTTAGGGCTGTTTGTGAGCGAAACTCTGAACAGGTCTATTGCCCCGGCTCTCTTTGGAATGACGGAAGTTAAGCGCGCCTGCGCCTGTCTTCTCTTTGGCGGCACTGCCAAAATCATCAACGACACTACGCGCATCAGAGGGTCCGACTCGCTCAACACAAGGGGGCAAAGCTTCACACAACTGCCCTAATAAAACACCCATTAGCCATTCCTCCTAACCAACACCTTGCGGAATTGTTGTTGCATACTCAGGTGATGCCTGCAGCCGTTGCAGTAGCAGAGCATGCCGTTGCGGCTGCTGTGTGGGTCTGTTGCTGTGTTAAAACATTATCGGGACTGCGCCTGTGAGGGTCATCGTGCGGTTTGTTGCAGCGACATAAATGTCCTTCTGTTGGGAGACCCCTCTGTCGCGAAGAGCCAAGTGCTGAAGTTCGTGGCAAAGCTCGCCCCGATATCCGTGTACACCTCAGGTAAAGCATCAACTGCCGTGCAACATGCACGGTCAAAAGATGGGAAAGGCGCGAAGTTGAGGCCTCTACACCAACAAAACACTGCCTTTCCCCCGTTGAATTCTTACTATTTGCTTTCTGTGAAGGCTCTTGCTTTGGCCCACCTCTGTTCAATTCAGATATGCACCAAACAATGTTCACCTTCGGCCTCCTGTATTTCTGGTTGGTCCTTGTTCGTTGATAGGAAAGGGTAGCAGCGCAGCGGGTTTGACTGCAGCAGTGATGAGGGATCGCCAAGGCGTCTTCAGTCTGGAGGTGTGTGGCGCTTGTCCTGTTGTTCATACACTGGAATGTTGCCTTAGCCTTGCACATGAGCACTTCACCTTTTGAGACTGCTGAGGGATCGCGCATACAGGTGCATATTGAGTGCGTTTCGCCTGCTGCGACAACAGGGAGGCTGCATGTGTCTTGCCGACGGTGGCGTTGTGTGCGTCGATGAATTTGATAAGATGCAAGAACGGGACGTGGTTGCGATGCACGAGGCCATGGAACAGCAGACAATATCCATTTCTAAGGCAGGGATCAACACAGTTTTGAACTCCAGGTGTGTCTGCATGCATGCGCTAGTGCTGCAGACTACTCAAGTCTACGTGCCCCCGCATGCCGTGCTGCTTGTGCTGTCGAAGCCGCCAGCAAGCATCTAAGAGTGCTGTGCCCTTGCTTCTCAGGTGCGCCGTTCTTGCCGCTGCCAATCCGTCTTTCGGCAGTTTCGATGACGCACAAGACACGACGGAGCAACATGAGTTCAAGGCGACAATTCTTTCTAGGTAGGTTAAGTTTCTGTCCAAGGGGAGGCAGCGAGGCCAGAAAATGATGAGCACACTAGGCGGGACACATATGAGACAAAAATCACAAGGCACAAGTAACGAAGCAAAAGTAAAAATAAAGCAGCAACAAACGAGAAATAGGAAAACAACAAAAGAAGAGTTGGGCCAGACGGCAAACAGCCCGACCAATCGGCGATTGGGATGCTCCACTTTCACTGCGGTGCTCTCCAAGAGAGGCAGACGGAGCATCTGCCGAAAAAGCTTAAGGCAGGGGGTGCGGGTGAAATGAGGGCGAAGAAGCAGTTGCATGAATATCTGGTATGCGGCTTTGGGGCTGCTTAGGTTTGACCTGATCTTCATGCTGCGAGACAAAGACGACTACGAGAAGGATGCGCGTCTATGCGAACACATTCTGTCTCTCCACGCGGTGTGCCTCCCCCTACACTTTCTTCCCTTCCACTGGTCTTGCGTTTACTCAGCACGAATCTTATCGAGGCAATTGAATGCAAATACATGTTTCACTGAATTACAGCCCTTGTTATCCATTTGCTTTTCGAGGAGCTGTAGTAGCGTCGACATCCCACAGGAATGCCTTCGCCTTAAGACTGCTTTACTTGTTATGCATGTGGCATAAAACGTGGCGGAGGTATTTGCGGCTTTTTGTTTATTTGCACCAGAGACGAGCAGCACATCCACCTCAAGAGGAGGGAGAGACGATCCCGTTTGAGGTCCTGCGGAGGTACATACAGTACGCGCGGCAGCAACAGCAACCCCTCCTCTCTCTGGACGCAAGGGACGCCTTGAAGAATTTCTACGTACAAACCAGGTGGGCGGCAATGCCTCGTTGGCTGGTCTATGTCTCCTCGCTTGCCTTCTCATTCAGTATTTCCTACGCACAAGTTCAGCACTGCCTTCGTTTGCTCGCTTTTAGTGTGACGGAGGGTCCTAGTTGCTCGGTCACGTTCTTGTCTGTGGAGGACCAGCCGCGCGGTGTACTTGCGGCAACAGCTATGCGGCATGGGGTGCGTTTAGGCAAGATGTCCGAGAAGACAAGAGATCTGTTACGCGAAAAATTCCCATAACTCTCCGTCAGTTGGAGTCTCTAGTGCGCATTGCAGAGAGGTGCGAAACCCCTGGATTCACCTTATCACGCCTGTCCCCTGCACCACGCCAGCCTCAATCCCAACTATTGCGCATTCACTAAGAGTCCCGTCCAGAGTCGTAAAAGCAACTTGTAAAAAATAAAGATGTTATTATTCTGCTGCCTAGCTTTGTGCATTTAGCATGTCTTCACGGGGAACATCTCCTAAAGGCGTATAAGAAGCTCGTGGCTTGCTTTTAACTTGAGGACTACGCACTGAGTTGCGTATTCCGCCATGTTGCCTTCAGTTTTGCACGGATGGAGCTGGCGCCTGTGGCCCAGGCGTCGCACGTCAAGCGCGCCATCGACCTGTTCTCCGCATCAACTGCTGAAACTGCCAAGCATGCCCTCGTGTTCGAGTCTCTCACCCCTCTGCAGCAGAAAGCCATTAAGGTATGTCCCAGCAGCTGCCCCTGGAGCAACGACGGCGCCGCCCTAACGGGGGCTGCAAGGCTAGCGCCTACAAATTGTATATGGTGCAGCTCCTCTCAGAAAGTTCCACGCGTCTACGAATGCACGCGTGCCCCGTGTAGCAAGATTCAGCTTCAGTTTGCTGCTGTGGCGAATTGCTGCAGCTTGCAGAGGACGCACTCATGAGTCGCCTACAGCCAGGGCAGCGCGCCCTTCGCCGCAACATCGTCCGCGATCTCCAACAGCAGGGCTACGACAAACTGGTTGTGCAGCGGTAAGGGAATCGTTCAGAGTAGACATGAGAATATGCGCACCGTGTAAAGCTGCAGTGTATCTACACACCCTTCAAGGCTCCCGCTTGATCACACAGCATGCGCTAATGGTTGTCTCCTGCTGTGAGAATGTTGGATTTGAACTTCAGGGCCATCTCTATTCTTGTGCGGCGAGGAGACCTTCAAGAAAGAGGTGATCGCTCCATCAGGAGGCCATGAGTAAACTGATGCATATATATAAATAGGCTCTGCCGCCGGCTTGGCAGGCCCCGTTGTTGATGGGGTCAGTGCCACTGCCCTCGCCTCACTGCTAGAAATACCGCTAGTCTCGGAAGGGCCCTTCTCTCCCCTGCTGAGCATACCGCTCCAAAGCAGGTGCCGATTGTTGTGGCCAGCTCTGAGCCTAAACCCCTAGGTTCCTGAGCTCTGGAGCCCTAGCGTATCCCGATCCTCGCTTTGGCGAACTTATGTATCTAAGGTTTAAAGTGGCCACCGCGGCGAAAACGAAATCTAGGTCCAACGAATTAAGCTTAGGCCTAACAGGCACGAATTGACGGTTACAGATACCGTAGAAAGACGGGGAAAAAGGCCCCAGCGGCTGCTGGCTGAGACGTGGTAGAAGTACCAGCTGCTTTCTTGCTGCACGCCAAACGGGAAGCCAGTAGCTGTTAGTTCTTCACTGAAGGCCTCCCCCGTCTCTGCGCGAACCGCTCAGCGCGTCCCAAGCAGAACCCACCATACAAATACTTCTCCGCAGCTGTTCGTGGACACTTTCATCTATTCCGTCAGGTCCAAGGCTCGGTGGCGCGTTCGCGCGGATGCCTCCTCCTCCTCTGGCAATCTCTTCTTAAGCTCTGCAAAAGCCGTATATGCATGCACATAGTATTTGAGCACATGTATAGTCTACATAATTATGTATGAATGGATGCTGACTAGCACAACCCGTGCCTGGGGAATTTTTAGGATTTCAGCAGAGCAGGCAACGCGGGTTCATCCTATCTTACCTGCGAATCCCTGGCGGATTTCAGGAATTAGCCGTTCAAAAGCGAGCACTTCCTCCATAGTGAAAGCCTCTAGCAGACTGTGGACAGCAGAGAGCGCATTGTAGTGTGCGTGGAGGGTGAGACAGATTCTTGTAATTTTTTCTGTCAACTGCATGGTCACGAGCTGCTCTCCCTGCTGCTGTTGCTTGGATCTGGTGAGAAAGACGCGATGCTCACTGATGAGAGTGCCCAGTGGCGAAGGCGAGACACGGAACAGCTGTCCTTCGGATCGCTTCTGCAACCAGAACGAATACGCTGCAGTTGCATTACTTTGTTCTTGTCTGCCCCGTTTCCTCTTCTTTAGCACTGCACACGTGTGCTTGCTCGAGGTGAACAGACCACAAATGAAAACTGCACTTACTCTGCAAGTCTTCAGACCACGGCAGCCGCCCGTCGTAGAGAGGCACCGGGCTCGCCCGCAGCTCTTTCAGCTGCTGCTGCAGAGCAGGAGGCAATTTCTCGATCGACAGGCGGTCTATGTACCCTTGACACACAAATAGCAGCTTGTCGTAGCTGTCGTGCAGCTGCAGCACAAGAAAATAACAACCCCACAAAAAGTCACACAATGTTTCACTTCAGTTCCTTGCTCGCATGCTCGTTGACGCATACACAATGACGACAACCGACGCATTGCACTTTCAAGGAGAAATCCCTTAAAGGAGGTGCCCAAGGGGTAAAACGCTTCTACTTTGTAAGCAGAGAGCTGGGAAGCATGCGCAGCCTCATCCAGAAAGTTCTGTAGTACCCCCAGCAGCACTCACCTTCTTCACTGGAGACCTTTTTCGCGGTGGATATTCTATGTGCACCATACGTCGCCGGCCTCGCTGCAGTATATCCCACCGCCATCCACGCTGCCTCCAACCACGTAGAACAGGAGACAAGAACATTTCTCGCGATTTCTGTGCGTGTGCACGCGAACCCTGGACCTGCAATCTCTCGCAATTAGTCTCAGGCGAATCCCGGGTGTAGACCGGCGGAGAGGAAATTTGAAACCCCCCTGAAAGCTTAAAGAATTAGCGAAAGCAGAGATGCAGAGGGAAAGCAATCATCGCAGGACTCAATAACTCAGAAAAGCGGAACAAAAAGGAACCAAGAACCACCTCGACGAACACCGGCTTGTTCGGTGAGAAGGACCAGGGGGAAGATGTGCCTGTGGAAATTAAACTGGGACCTCAACTCAACCAGGCTACACAAACAGAGTTTTTTTAGTTTGGTCACTGAAGGGAAGTGTCTACAAAGTAATGCCGCAACCCGGAGCTTAGGGGCCTCACATTGGGTACGCCGGCAGGGCCCTAGTATTCGGAAGGCCCTACATTGCGAAGCGTGAACTAAAACTCACACATTTAAAACTGTTTTCTTTTGGTGAAATTTGGATTTTTAATACTCAAATCGTACGATATATTCCGTTTCCTCCCAGCATTTTCTAGTGTTCTCCTGCGAAGCAGACACGTGTGGCATGTTCCGTGGCGGTTCCTGAACATAAAGCTGTATTTAACTAAGGAGAAAAGCTCGTTTAAAATGCAGAGCCTTTGTGAAGGATTATTTCGCCATCTCTGAGGAAGACTAGCGTGTACAGATCCGTTGGCCCCCACCGGGACGGACAGGAAGTTGGTTGCCAGCTGGTATAATTGATGATGACGTGGCTGGCACAGCAAAGGTGTCGTGTCGTTAGAACTCGTTTTACACTCCCATTTTATTCTTATTGCGAACGTGAAATTTTTTTGATTTAAATGAGCTGCATTTTCCTCTCGTGGCTCGGCTTTCCGTAGGCTTCAAGCGAAACCAGACGCATCAGCCTCACCATTCTCCACGACGTTGTGCTTCGCCTTGTTCCTTGCGTTTTCGCATTTGCATTATTTTCCTCAAACAAACACAAGTAAACTCTAACGTTAGAACAACCCATCTCGCGAACCTATGCCGCAGCACACCGGTAAACATCCCATCACCTGAAGGTCCACTAGGTCATGCGGTCCAGTAGAGTGAATTCGTTCGCCATGCAGGCCTCTTCCTTTGGGCAGTCTACGAGTAGCGACTGAAATAGACTACGGTTGATTTCTACTAGTTGCTGTTTGATATTCTTTACGTACTACCCCTTGCAACCAGGCTGTGGAGGGCAGCTTGGCTGTTCTTGTAACAGAAACTTCGCGCTCTATTCCGAAACCTGCAGGCTTCCGTTTCAGCACTTGCAACGAAGGTGTACGTCTATTGAGCACAGGGACATTTTCAAAACTTCTCAAAGGATAGCGATGCTTCGGGGACAAGCAACGCAGTCGTGGACAACAACCGCCGCAGCAGGCCCCTCCAGCGATCATCATCCAGATGCGCCTGCTTACTCGAGCTCATGCTCAAAGCAGCATATATGTATAACTCGACGTCTGTAGAGGTACCTGGAATCAGGCACTGAAGAGTACTCGCTCCCGAGAGGGGAATTCAGGCGCAAGGAAAGCAAAGCTTAGACAAAAGCAAGGAGCGGCTAGCAGGGCAACAACGACGTGCAGCCGTCAGCCGCACCTGAGCTCCTCTTAGACACCTATTTACTGCTTCAAGAAGCTAGAGGAAGTCCTGTTGTCTGCGTAACAGCTAAGGCAGAGCGAGGGTGTGCTCATGGACTGGTGCCAAGACAAGCATGCGGGAAGGAAGCCGCTGTAGCATAGTTTCCCACTGCTAGTTTCGGGTGCCGTATGTATGCAAAGGCCACTTTTCTTTGGAAAAACCGGAGGAAAAAATTCACTGGTTAAACTTGTTGCACCTTCCACCTCAGAAGGTTCACAAAACTAAACAACCGCCACAGAGTGAACACCAAACAACGTTCCATTGTGGCATGAAGGATGCAATAAAATGCGTTACGGGCAGTTCCACTGTCTCGTAGGTTCAAACGTGCTCTCTTTGGAGCTCACGAAGAACCTGGCGATCTGGTCCCTTGCTGAAGACCCCCCGTAGAAGGAAGACTTTCCCTCGTCTTGCGACAGTTCATAAGATGCGTCAATCTGTTCTTCCCAAGTCAACCCCACCAATCTCCCTAAAGCTTCCTTTCGAACTTGCTTACTGGCAACTCCCTTCAACCGAGATCCTGCCTCCTAGGAGGAGGAATCTGGCAGGCTCCACCTACCCAAGTTATATTCTGCGATCACGAACACCTGCACGGTATACGTCCCTGTGCAGGAAGCTACACGACGCACTTCAATCTAGACCGCGATGGTCACCGGCAGAAACGCAAACAAACGTATCCTGTAAGCTGCGCACAGCGCGTGGTGGGCCCTCCTGGTGGGCCCTCCTTCGGTACAGCCACAAAGATTCGAGCCTTTTTCGAGTGTCACACGGTAACACTCCAACAACTCAAGAACCCTTTGCACCTCACGCAACTCTGTGTTCGCGGCAGCACACACCAACAAACACACCCCCTCAAACACAACACTCGCTATGTGCAAGGATGCTTCACTGCGGTCTGCCAATGTCCCTCATTGCCTCCTCATAGCTCGGAGGTGGGGGCACTCGCGGCACTCGCACGAATGGGGGTCCTAGTGGAGGGGCTGAAGGCAATGGCGGAACGCTGTGCGGCTCCACGAAGTGCGGCGGGAGCACCTCGGGTACAACGGGTGATCCGGGTTCAACTATAAAGTGCCCCCCCGCATGCGGCGAGCGAGGGAATGGCTCTCCCCATGGTTCACCTATATCACTGTGCTCGGCAAAGGCTTGACTAGCTGCTTCCCGCTGCTCTTGAATCCATCGTCGATGCCGTCTGAGAGTGTCTTGGAATGCCGTCCCTTCGTCATCCATAAACGCCCTTCCCCCCATTCCCGTCTCCGAGCCACTGCTTCCTGCGTCCCCAGAGCGGCTTCCTCCATCCATGTCTTGCCTCCAGCGGTGAGAACTCCCTGCGCTGCCACCACTGTCTTGCCTTCCAGTGGAAGCCAAAGGCGACGCGAGAGTTAAGGCGGTTAACACTGTAGAAATTGTCAGCAACAGAGATAATAAAAAGGCAAAGCGCGCTTGCCTCCGTAGTTTCTCATCGTTCGCACTCGCTGCATCCATCCATTCCCCATGCACCGGGGGGATGTACTGCTCGTGATCAGGGTCTCCCTCTAAGGCTGCTTGCTGCCTTTCTACCTCGAGTTCGTCCCTCGCAAAGTCTCTTGGATACGCATGAAGCACTCCGACTAGATCAGACTGGGCTTCCAGCAGAACGTTGTCAATCTCCCTAGCTCTCTCCAACAAACTGTCCCTAGCCGGCTCCAGAATCCGTGCTGCTCCTTGGCTCTCCGGAGATTCCAGATAAGTCAGCCCTCGCACAAGGGGTGGAGCGAGCTTGTTTAGCGCCGTGATCATCAGCGCCGGGTTGCCCTCCAATGCAACGTCAGACAGAAGTTGCTCTGCTTCTTTAAATAGCCTCCCGAAAGGCGCCAACAGGAACTTCGCCAAGGCCTTTCCCGAATTCGAATAGCCCTCAGCAGCTCCCACAACGCCAGCGAGCTGAGCAGACACCGCTCCAATGCGTATCTCAATAGTGTCTTGTGGCTCATTCTTGTCATGCTTCCCATTCTTCTTCTTCTTCTTTTTCTTCATGCGCTTCTCCTTCCTCTCAACACTGTCCAGTCCCACAAGACGCGTCCTCAGACGTGCCAGGGAATGACAGAAATGCCGCAGCAACGCCGCACGCAACGGTGGGTCCGCGCCTTGCAACAGTTTAGCCAGGGTCAGAAGCGATCCTCCGGGGGGGACAGATTGTGGGGGTTCAAAGGTGGCCTGGTAGGAAGTGAAGGGTTGCGATTCCGTAAATGTTGTTGCGCCGCTGCCCCCCGCCTGAGTACCATGGGATACGTACCAATCATACCCTGGGTATGTGATGGTCTCGTCAAGCTTTACAGGGGGAGGGCCAAGAGCATACCGCTGTAAGGGCGCCGCTGCCAGCTCCCCACCATCAGCATCCCTCCCATGGAGTTCTTGCCATCCTGCCTCGGCGCGCAGAGGGCCACCCAGGAACGCCACACCGAGAAGAGCTGAAGCTATCCAGCACATCATGTGGGGGAAGAATTTGGTTGTGGGCACTGTTGTTTGCAAGCTGTGGGGAGCTTGACGTCTTCCGCTGACCCGGAGTAGACAGGTATCGGATACCTCAAAAAAGCGTCTGTACAATCTTGTCAAGTGATGCTGTCCCACAGCAACCAATATCTGCTTTTAAAAATAAGAAGTCAGGCGGATGAGGCACAAAGTGCCGAGAAAGCACGCGAAACCCCGATAGCCTCTCACGAGAATTGAGAAAAGTATGGGACTAACGGACGCTCCAAGGAAAAACTGTAGAAATCAGTTGATTGCGATATTCGTGGTGTTAATCAATAATAAAAAAAGAAACTGCACGCACTGGCTCCCCAGATTATCATGCGCCAGCCCAATGGCCCACCTGATGCAACTCGACGGAACAGGTGAGCGGTGGATGCGCGTTCAGCTTCCGTGCTATCGCTCCAGCGCAGATACTCGAAGGGCATGGAGATTATTCAAGGCGGCTTGAAAAGGGTTTAATTGGTATGGTTAAGCCAAAGCAAGTAAATTTACGATATGCAGGGTGCTGCTGCCCGAGTTGCCTGCGATCAATTCGGCATGTCAAACGACTTCGCGGGGAAAACTTCCAGGAGGATGATAGTGGAATTAGAGCTTTACTTGTACTTCTGACCCGATTGTTTTAATATATCCCTTTTTCAAAGCAAATTAGCTGCAGTAGGCTTACTTACTGGGTTTTGTCTTGGTGCCACTATCGTCGAAGGCGACTAGCACAGGCACTGGTACGAGATGGCTGCAAGGATTGATCTCTAAGTCTTATCAGACTTCAAGCATTAGCGCGATCCAAAGTTGTTTTTTTGCTTTAGTATGTGAATCTCAGTATTGTGTGGATGTCTATTGGCCATTTTCCACTCCGGCTCGCGCAGCAGCGATACTGGACGGCGCTGCGGCCAAAGTTTGCCGACGACATGCAGCGTTAATTACCGTAGATGAGCCTGTAAACCGCTTAAGTAGTCCTTAAGCCATTCAGTGGGTGGTCATTGGCAAGGAGGTTGGCATGTCATGAGCTTCAAGAACCAAAGCGACTGTGCGCTTCGAAGGAAACGCAGATGTTTATTATTCTTTTTGTCTCTCCTCCTACTCAGTACAGCAGCACACCAAAGCTAGTCATCGGCAGATAGGCAGAACAGGTGCCCTCGCTGAATCGGCAACGTTATCTGCTGCCGCTCGTGCTGCACAGCACCCCGCAATGGGATGCTACTCATCTCTTCTTTTTCCCCCATGCATAGACACACGAAACGATTGCCACACACTTCGTTGGTTGTCAGTAGCCCACGTAGGAACACGTAGAAATGCACTCACCAAAACATATGCTAGAGCATACAATTTTTATAGATGAGATAGACTTCCAGAGTACAAAAGGGAAACATATTAATCGGAGAACAGCCAAATATATTAGTAGTTTGCGTCTTCACACATCTGCATACAGAGAACTTTTTGAGTACGTTAGACCAGCGTTAGAACCGTTGTGTGTTTTAGACGTGGAGGGTTCCCAGATGCTGCATATTCCAGGTGCCAAACAGCAGTAAGAAGCATATCATTAGCTCCTCTTCAAGACTTCCAAGTTCTTAAGGGCTACTTGATACGTCGTTCTCAGACTGTATTACCCTTGGGGCATTGGGGCAGGTATATGGCTGAATTTAAAATATGCCAGCCCACTCACCCAAGGCGAAATTGCACGAATTTTTCACAGTCATATCCAGGCACTCCGACTCAACAGATGGTCTAAAACGGGGACACTGAGCAGCACAAAGCAGGTATTACAATAAGCTGGAGACCTGCATTCCTTCAACTAATTCGATTTACTAGCCGATTCCAATAGCGTGACTTTCTCGACGGTTTATGTAGACTTTATTTTACTTAACAGGGATGGTTCCATCCATTCGAAGCCCCGTTCGGCTTATAAGTAGTAGCAATTGGAATAGTAGTAACTCGGACCAACTCGAGTACCACAAGAATTACATTTAATATTCTTTGCTATTAGACAAAATGAGCCCTTCATAAAGTGCGGAATTTGGAGTAGCACGTCTCACATGACTGTTGAGTAGCCCGTAATCATATCCCTGCTCACCCGTTTGTTGACCGCGTTGTGTAACTTGACGTGTGGCAGCCAATCATGGGTAATTACTTGAACCAAATAATGACAAGATCTGAAGTGCAGAAGTTACCGAAAACTTCGAGAATACTTGTACCAGTACACCTGATGTCTCAATGTTTAAAATAAACATCTGCTAAGGCCTGCACACGAAATCTAGCCCGGGCCACTCCGTGCAGCAGCTGTCACATCTTGTATTGTCTGCTTGTCCACCATACTGAAAACCTGCATATGACTACATGACTGTACAAACCTGAGTCCTTATTTTGTACAATCTCGTATTGTTTTGATAGGAACAATGTTATCTAGTGCACCCTCAAGACAGACGCAAGAAGCTCGCCTACAGTATTTAGTAGTCTTCTCCCCCCACCAAACCCTATGGGACAACAGATATTCAACAACTAAAGGTCTTAGGCTACGCGTCCATGCTTGCGCGGACCTGCATACAGCGCGAGACAGCTTACCATTTGCCCCGGAGGACACCTGTAGGAATTGAATCCCTTTTGTGGTGGTCTGTGCCTTGAACGTAGATCGCTGGAAAGTTTTATTGCAAAAGGGAGTCATCTGCTTTCTACGGAACACAACTTGAAATCCTGTTTGTTGCCACTTCCAGGATGCAGTAGCAGAACATCTACAAGTTTTAGGGCAGTATGGAACAGTGGTGGTGCGTTAGTCGCTGCCACACACCCCACGCATGAAATGAGCACCCCAACCCCACCTCTCTGAATGATTAGAACAGAACAGAAATTACATTTCCCATTCAATATACATAAAAAGCCAAATACTGAGGCACGCAGGGCCCGTCTAGGAGTTGCGCTGCGCGCAAGTAGTCAAAGAATCATCCAGGAGAACCATTGGAAACCCATTGCACAGGTAGGATCATGCGAAGATACTACAGATCGTGTGGCATCTAGCATTGATAGATGCAATTTTTCGTTCAAAATTAAAGTAACACTTAATACAATAGAAGTTTGCAGCAAAGCACACAGACAATGCCACAGAGACCGCCAACGAGCGTGCACACCAGTCGGTTCCTTGCGCGGTGTCTACACTTTCCCACTCAAGTCCCGGGTTCACCGCGCTTTAAGCATAGTGCACCACTTAAGGAAAACAGATAAAGCAAGCCCAACTGAATTGGAGATGTAGCACGTAGAACAGCTTGTCAACCTGGTGCGAGAATGTCTGGTTGTCCGCCAGCCCGGCAATCTGTTCAAAGTGCAATCCCGATCTTTTGACGGCGAAAACGGAAGCTGTTTGCAGCAACCGTTCAGTGAAACGCTTTAGAATTTGACGTAGAAGTGGGGATGTATTCATGCTGAGGTTTTCTGCCCGTGATCGGAAGCATTGATGGCGGACTGCCACCGGACGCTTTTGGAAGGGGGGGACCTGCTTGCACGAGAAATGCGGGATTCCCGTGTGTCTTTACCCTCCTCCTCTCCATTTTCTCTTCCTTTTGCCTATTAACATCTCTGAATATAATACACATGCAGTTCCTGAGGTATTTATGTCCTTTATGCACCGAGAAAGTACCTCCTTTGCTGCTGGAGCACTGGCAAGGAGGCATTCCGATCACACATGCCTCCTCCTTCGATGCTCCGATGCTCCCCGTTGAGACATAGAGCAGTAGCACCAAAATAGAGTTGCGTCGGCTTAACGAGGTTTTTGGTGTAATTAAACTTTCACTGCACACAAGAGTGCTGCTATTCTTTGTCTATTTAGCAGCCTGATGCGCTGCTGCTCTGCTGCCGCTTGTGCTGTTGCTGCCTCCTGACCTACCCTCTGAGGAGGTTGCTTGTCCACGAAGAGGAGAGGCGTGATCTCTCTTTGCATCTTCATCCGTTTTTGATTATTTCGAACGGATCTTTCTTTCATCTTTTTTAAACTGAGTCTATTACCTTGCAAACGCCTCTCATCTCGCTCGTGCGACGCCGTGAGGGAGCCTCTTGGCTGGCGTCTTGCGAGGCTCTCCATCATTGCCTGTCTGAGCAACCTGAGAGCCCTGTGAGGTGTTTCCTCTCGTTTTTTGAATGTTCTGTTCTCATTGAACCCGTTTGCTGTATATTTCGGGGGAAAGCGAGGTATTGCTCGTTCTGCAGCAGCAGCAACGGGGAAACTGCCAAAAGCAGCAGTTCAAGACCTGGCCGTTCTTTGGCCAGTCTGTGGTGGTCCGTGAATCCGGTGTCTGCACACCTGAAATGCTTTTCCGCTTTTAAGGATTGTTACATCAGGATTAGGCTTTTCCTTTACCCCACCTCTTGCTGGTGTTCACAGGGCCGCGTAAAGCGTGGCGGCGGCTGCCCCGTCTCTGCATTCCCCTCCTCTCTTTTCCGTGTCTTCAAGCCTTTTTGCCGCTATTAGCACATATCCACCCAGGTGAGGCTCGAATCTGCAATCCTTTTCACTTTCTTTGGGTATCTTTGGGGGGCTTCTTTGGGCGTGCGGAGGTGTTGTGCCCTTTAGGCTCATTTCTGTTCCCTTTTCTTTGTTTTTTCGCTGATCTTGCTGTAGTAAGACTAGCCTCTTGCTTGGGGGGTTTTTTAGGAATTGTCTATTTGCCTTTAGCTTGCTTTGCCTCTCCGTTTCCCGTGTGCAGGACTGCATCTACGGTGCGAATTTTTTGCTACTCCTTTGCGCTCCGAGCTGTGCGTGTGCCCTTTGTACCGATTTCAGTGGTGTGAAGGATGCCTTGTTCCGCCTCTCCCCTTGTTTGTTCGTTCAGGCAGCAACAGAAACAGCAACATCTGATACAGCAGTAGCATCGGAGGGACCAGAAGCCCTGAGGCAGGATCAGCAGCAGCAGCAGCACCAGAAGCAACAGCAGAGTCTGAGGCAGCAGAAGTAACCGAAGCAGCAGCAGTAGCAGGGACAGCAACAGCAGCATCCAAAACAGCAGCAGTAGGTGAGACAGTAGCAGCAGAAGACTAACTCCACACAAGAGTACCGAGTGTGTCTCCTCCATCAGCTTCTGCACTCTGCAGCGGTTAAGTTGCAGCAGTGCTGCTTCAACCAGGCCTTAGAGAGCAGAGGTGGAGGGAAGGAGTGTGAGGGAAGAGAGGAGGGAGCAGAGAGAAGCAGATGTAGAGGTATAAGAAAGAGCAGAGGAGAGGAAGGAAGTAGAGAAAGAAGGGGCAGGTAGAAGAAGAAGGGGGGGGAGAGTGTACTTGTTGTGGAGTTGGGATCAGGGAGACAGTAGGAGACACAAGAGGGGAAAGAGACAAATAAGAAGAGGAAGAAAGGAAACACCTTGCCGATGCCGGAAAAGGAGACACCCCATCGCCTCGGTATAGGGGGGCAGCAGCTAATAGTAAGCCCCGATCTCCTTAAGCTGCTAGCAGGTGCAGCAGAGGAGACAGACAAGTTTGCTGGTTGTCTTGCTGCACTACAGCAAGACAATGCACGACATAATGCAAAACGATGCACAGAAAACCCCTCTCCTGCCTTAGCAGCAGGTGAAGGGCCTAAGCAGCTAACAGCAACAGCAACAGCAGCAGCAGTAGCAACAACAACAACAGCAGAAGCAGCAGCAGCAGCAGAGAGGACAGCAGCAGAAAGGAGTGCAGAAAATACAGCAGCAGTAAGCGCACAAGCAGCAGACACGGGAGAGGCTGCTGCTGCTGCAACACCACGAGGCAACTCTAAGAAGATAAAGATGACAGCAAATGGACAGAAGAAGAGAACAGCAGCGTAGGGAGAAGGCAGCAGCTGTTTCCTCTGTGTCTTGTTTCCTTTCTCCCCTGTCTCCGTTCTCATCTTATTATCCGATTCCTTCTGTCTCCCTCCCTTTCTGCCTCCCTTATCTTCTACCGCCCTTCTTGTGTCTCTATGTTGTCCCCTGTATGTATAGTCTGCTTTCTCCCGTTTTGTTTCTCTTTTGTGGGGTATCCTTTCTGCTGTATCTTCTTCCTGTCTCTTCGATCTTGGGTTCGTTTGTGTGTTTGTTTATATCCATGGTGTGTCCCTCCTCCCCCTCTCTCTTTCCGTCCTTGTTTGTGTTGTGTGTGTGTTGCTTCTATACTGATATATTGCCTGCTTGCGTGAAGACACAAGCAAAAGCGCATACATGCAACCATGCATGCATGCATGTTTGCATGCACACATGCATACATGCATGCATGCATGTATGCCTGAGTAATGTGCTTGTTGTGCTATTTGGCTTCCGAAGGGCTGCGAGTTGGGAAAAGGAGCGGCGAAAGAGGTGTTGCCGTGCTGGTGCAGCATCGGGTTCGGGTGCAGCGGATGGTGCAGTAGCAGCAGCAGCAGCAGCTGCTGCTGCTGCTGCTTCAGGTGGCGGTCCCTCTTCTTCTGTTGGTTGTACAGGGGCTGCTTCTGCATCTGCATACGCCCTGCTACTATCAGCACTACCTAAGGTAACAGGTGTATTCTTTGATAGGAGTCAAGAACGTTGGGTCTCTTCTGTCTATGCAGCAGGAAGAAACATGAAATCTTATTTTCCTGTCTATAAGCATGGATTCTTAGAGGCACGACATCTTGCAATTCTTCAACGTATTTCCCAGGTTGCTCTTAAGGGCAGGACACCCCAGACGGAACCAGATGCAGCAGCAGCAGCAGCAGCAGCAGCAGCAGCAGCAGCTGCTGCTGCTGCTGCTGCTGCTTCTTCTTCTTCTGCTGCTGCTGTTTCTAATACACAAGCTGGTGCACGGGCTGCTGCACCGGCTGCAACGCGCGCTGCTCCACAGGTTGCTACACCTGCTGCTGCACAGGTTGCACCTGCTGTTGCTGCCCCTGCTGTTGCACCTGCTGCTGCATCTGCTCCTGTACCTTCTGCTGCCCCTGCTGCTTTACCTGCTGCTTTACCTGCTGCTGCACCTGCTGCTGCACCTGCTGCTGCACCTGCTGCTGCACCTGCTGCTGCACCTGCAGCTACTGGCGCACCTGCAGCAATGCCTTCTTCTGACGCTCTCGATTTCGAAGCGCTCATTCAGGCTCTGGCGAAGGTACGAGAACCCCCTATGCATGGGGGCAGCAACAAGGACCTATGGGGCAACGTAGCCGCAGCTGCTGCTCCCTCTCCTGCTGCTGCAGCAGCAGCAGGAGCAGAACCAGCCAAGCTTGAAGGAGACGGACAACGCGGTGTGTCTTCTATCGAAACCCCTAGGAGCAGAGGGGGACGCATGCCTTGTCAACAAAAGGAGCAACAAAGAGCAACTCTATCATCAGCATCTAATAACAAGGAGTTGCTGCGTCAAGGCGTAGAGACACTGCAGCAATGCTTGAATGACGGCAACACAACAACCAGTGGGCGCAGACGGCACAGAAGCAGCAGCTGCTGCTGCTGCTATTGATGCAGTTGCATGCGGTAGCTCTGCATGAATTGGGGCTGTCTACGTTTCTGCTCTTATGTGGTTAGGGGGGATCTTTGTTCCTTTCTTTGCTTTCTTTCTTGCTTTCGTCTCTTAGCTACCGTCATTGCTAAGACATCTTTATTGCCATATACAAAGTGTATAGATAATATGCATAATAAATGTATATAAATTATATGCGTATGTATATGTGCATGCATACACTTACGTATATATATTGTTTTGTTTTGTTTATGCTGCCTATAGAGTTGACGACAACTGCAACAGAGAATTTCCCGCGTAGTTCCTCTTGTTCAGCATTGGCGGTGCCTCCTCCTCGCACCTCCTTGGTGTCTCCTCCTCATATGTTAGCTGCCGCTGCACAGGGTATGCAGTTCCCTGCAGGATCTGCTGCTGCTGCTGCTCTTTCTTTGTCTCCTTTTCTCCTTAGAGGGAGAGGGGAGAGGAAACAGGATATAGGAGGCCAGCAGCAGCAAGACAGCCACCGGTGTCTCCTATCCCGTTTCTTGGCTCACGCAGCCAATGACCTAAGACCGTGGGAGGAGGGCATCACATGGGGGGAAAGAGGCAGCAGAAACAGCAGCAGCAGCAGCAGCACCAGCTGCTGGCTTGTAGCGCAACCAAGGAAAGGGCGCAACGGCAGACAGACGCGAGCCATTGCCTCTGTGGAGATAGCCGAGGCCTTCAAGGAGACACTCAAGAAGGCCCTCAGCAACTGGGCAGGAGAGCAGCGTGAGGATATGGGGGACACAGCAGGACGCCGCCGCCGCGGCAGCAGCAGCAGCAGCAGCAGCAGAGTTGTGGATGCTGCTCTGGAGCTGTTTAAGCAGGTCAAGGACCGAGCCGAGAGGCGGATGAAGGGAGAGAAGCAGACTGCAGATGCAACTCTAAGGAAAAAGGGGGACAAGGCTGCTGCTGGTGGCAGGCCACAGCAGGAGGAAAAGACAGAGCAGCTCCACCAGGAACAGCAGCAACAGCAGCAGCAGGAGCATGCAACTCGGGTAGAAGAGTTATCCCCTACTCGAGAGGAATTGGAGGGGAGGGAGAA